CGGACTCGCCATCAACGCAGCATCAGGTCATTTCCAAAGAGTATGCAGAGAAGGATTTTTGCAACCTAACGCGCTCAACGTCCGATCTTCTCTGGCCGTGCTCCATTGCCTATGTCACGGTACATCAGCATCGATCAGACTCACCCTCTGCGCGTCCGATCGTTCTCCTTCTCCAGCGTCCGGTCAGAGACTGAGAGCGCACCCTTCTTTGTGATGATGACCGAACGCACCCCTCAGGGTCCGGTCCAAAGTCTGGTCATCTCAAAACACATCTTCCACTTTACAAACTTCTTCACCCTTAATCAAATGTGCCAACCACCAAGTGTATCACCTTGTGCACATGTGTTAGCATGTTTTCACAAACATTTTTAAGAGTGTTAGCACTCAGTAGAATCTAAATGCATATGCAATGAGTTAAAACCTCTAGTAGCACTTTGATAACCGCATTTCGATACGAGTTTCACCCCTCTTAATAGTACGGCTATCTATCCAAATGTGATCACACTTCCTAAGTGTCTTGATCACCAAAACAAAGTGGCCCTATGGATACTGAAAGGATCGAGATGCCCAAGAGGGGAGGTGAATTGGGCTAATTCTAAATTCTTTGTAATAATTAAGCCTTACACTTAGCCCACTTCACCCCTTGTGCCTAGAATGTATTTCTATTGTTCTAACGCACAAAAGTTTTGCACCCTAAGTTTCAATCCTACTCTAGCATGGTAATTCTAGGAATATAAAGACTTGAAATAAATTGCTCAAATGTAAATGCTCAAAGTAAAGAGAGAGAAAGAAACGTGGCGATGTTTTTCTGAGGTATCGGAGAGTCGCCACTCCCCACTAGTCCTCGTTGGAGCATCCGTGCAAGGGTGTAGCTCTCCCTTGATCCACGCAAGGATTAAGTGCTATCTACGGGCTGATTCTTTGACACTCCGTCGCGGTGAATCGCCCACAACCGCTCACAACTTGACTTGGGTCATCCACAAGCTCCACCAGAAGATCACCAAGCTCCTAATCACCACCGAGCCATCTAGGTGATGGCGATCATCAAGAGTAACAAGCACAAACTCTCACTTGACCACGATAAGCCTAATGAGAAGGGTGGATATACACTTGCTACTCTCCTTGCATTAATGAGGACCTTAATCTTGGATTCTCAAATCTCAATCATCTCACTAGGCTCTTGCTCTCCCTTACACTCTCAAGGTGTTTCTCATCCGAACAAATGGGCAAGAGACCTCCCTTGGACGAGTGGAGTAAGTATTTATACCCTCTCATTCAAAACATAACGTTTAGAGACTGAGTCAGCACTCTGCGGGTTGACCGGACGCTCCGGTCAGGGTGACCGGACGCTCTGGTCAGTTATCCTTGCCACTGTGTCAGAAAGAGCCGTTAAGTTCTGATCGGACTCTGACTAGCGTCCGATCAGCACTGACCGAATGCGTCCGGTCAAAAAAATGCTCTCTGGAACCTTACTGATGTTGACCGAACACTGGCACCTAGAGTCTGGTCACTTCACTGTTCAGCGTCCGGTCAGGTACCGGATCTTGACCAGTGTCCGGTCAGCACTAACCGGACGCGTCCGGTCACAAAACAGTCTTTCTAGAACCTCTCTGGAGTTGACCGGACGTAGGTACCCAGCGTTCGGTCCACTTTCACTCAGCGACCCAGTCAGTACCAAACGACTTCAGTTGATCAAATGAATTGACCGGACTCGCCCTCCAGCGTTCAATCAATCATTTGACCCTCCATTCACTTCCAACTCGAAATCCTATGTGAATGAAGTTTACTTCAATTGATCTTAGGGCTATTCCTGAGCTACCTAGTGCTAGGTTTGACAAGTGTGCACCACACTAACCCACTAGACTTACCTAGATCAAGCTACTAGTCCATACCCCCCTTAATAGTACGGCCAAAGAAAAACAAGATCCTAAACTACTCTAAGTGTCTCTCCAACACCAAACGACACTTAGAACTAGTCTGTCCTTAACCTTATCGTCCATCATTTGAAAACCGAAACGATTTCCATCGACAGGGCCATGACAACCGTGATTGCCCAATCAATTTCCATTACCATGACCTAACTCAAATTGCCTCTGCAAAACACACGTTAGTCATAGTAATCTTATGTCGTCATTAATCACCGAAACCCAACTAGGATCTTAAATGCTTTCAGGTATCACCTTTGCCTTGAGTCTATTTTATTTTTCTCTTTCTTCTTTTCCATGTCCGAGCACTTGATCATCACCATGGCCTCCACCATCATCATGATCTTCACCATTTGCTCTACCACTTGGAATGTGCTACCCTATCTCATGATCACTTAGAGCAATGGGTTAGCACCTAGGGTTTCATCAATTCACCAAAACCAAACTAGAGCTTTCAGGCGGGCTTCTTCTTCCTCGTGGTGGCGATGTGCGCAGCAGTGGGCCAGTGGGGTGAGCCCTCGCACGAGCCACATGGGGCTCAGCGGGGCCACCCACTGCGGCGCCGGCCAGTGCCCGTGCAGGCGCCGGGTGGCGGTGGGGGCTTCTTCTTGCTCCCCCGCATCCTCCTTTCAGCGATGAAGAGGGAATCCAGGTCTGGTGCACTATAGGCAAGATCCGGCGTCCCGAGGGCAGGGGGCGGCACCCGTGAGGTAGGGTGCGATGGTGGCTAGCGGAGGTCAGCGTGTTGACGACGGGTGCTTCAGCCGGTGGCGGCAGCTGACGATGGCTTCGGTGTGTGGCAGGGGGACGCGCGCGGCAGAGTGTGGCCGATCTTCGGCATGTTGTCTGGTCGATGGGGATTGCCGATGTAGCTATGTGGCTGCTCAAGCAGCTGGCGCGTCGATGCCCCTCTGGCGAGGCTGCTGTGGGATGGCCGGCAACGACGACGGTGGCGACAGGCTAGGGTCCGACATCTTGGCCAACGTCTGTGCTGGGGGTACCTCGGGTGAAAGCCTAGCGACGGCGACGCCTGTGGGCGTCGCTTCCCTGTTGAGGGCGTCGTGTCCCCAGCAATTGTCTTCCACGGGTGAAATCCCGGTCCATTCATAGACAAGCGACGGCGGTGCATTCGACGTCGTACCCTTCCTGAAGGCATCGCTGTGGAATTCGACTCAGTCGCGATGTCTCCTGTGGCGGATGCCATCCGCTTCTCGGCGTCCGGTCTACCCCTTCTTCGATGGCTGGGTTTGCTTGGATGCACGGCGTTTGCTGCGGCGCGGGGCGTGAGATCAAGGCTGGAAGTCAGAGCTGCTCTTTGCGATGCGCTTGAGCTCGGCAACGATGACCTGCCATGGCCTCCTACCTTGGGCTGTCGGTCTCAAATCTTTGTTGGATCGTCCATGTGTACTCTGTTTTATTTGCGTGGGTGAGCTAACCTTTCACACGTCACGTTTGTCTGTCCTTCTTGTACATAAAATTGCCCTATTCTTATCAATGTGCGGTAACGGATCTTTCGGGGGAAAAAAGACGTTTGGTTACTGTTTCACGAGATACCAGTGTGTATAAATACTAGCTAGAATACTCCGAAGTTGACGAGGTGTTAGTGCAAAGTGACCAGAACGAAATCCGAGGAGCAAGAGGTCTCGTTCCCAGCGTGCGCGCGACGCGTGGCCGCGAATCGTTGTGAACGGCGCATCCGGCCACCCGTCCCGCTCCGGCAACCGATTCCACCGCGCTGCACACACCGTCGTCGGTGGGTGTGTGGGTCGGCGCGAAAGTAGTAGACCGGACCGTAAGAAACATGAGCAGAAAAATGCTTCGTTTTTCCCGTTGCAGACACGCGACAGTGTGCGAGTGCGACACCCTTTGCAATGCGAAATTTGCGAATATGGAATCACTGTGGCCCACCCATCAGTGCTCCCACGACTAGACAGGCTACACGGGGCTCTGTACGTGGCGCGTCCGAGTGCTCGGAGCGAGGATCAGGGTTACTCAGTGTTCCTTCTTTTTTGGTGGTATGTCTTTTTCGCACGGCACGGTCTACCCCCTGTTGGACTGTTGTAACGTGTTGATGCTGTTGACTGTTGAGCGGTGCACGTTTGGTCCCTGCGTGCGAGAAGGGTCTCGACTTATCTCGTGGGGGCCATGCGAGGAACGTGTTTGTGCGACTCACAAGTCATACCTTACCTTTGCGTCCGTGCGTCTTTTGCGTTTGGTGCACTCTACCAAATCGTTTGTGGGATCCTATGGAGTGTGTATGGTTTTAAAAAACAAAGTAAATAGAGTGCGATTGTTTATGGTTGTTTCTATTTATAATATCAAATGTTTTGATTATTTCTGCTTCTTCTATTTAACGTTTTAAAATTTTGAACTGGCAAAATCAGATCCCTTTCACCGGTGCTACTTTCTTTGGGCGGGAGTTGCCGACGCGCGAAGGAGCAAGGACAGGGTGCCAAGGGACAGGCAAAGCCTGCAAACCGAGGCCTGTTTGGAACACGGGAACTTTTTCCCTGTTCCTGCGTTTTTTCTTCGAAAATGAACTGATTCCTAGGCAAGGGGGAGACGAGGTACGAGCGTTGATTTCCGATGACCAATTTAAGAAACCAGACGCCTGGAAACCGAATCACATCACATGCCAATACTATTTCAGCATGTCACTGGATTTGTAAACTCAATTCCTTTAACCCAATTCATTGCCAGCATCCAAACCGACCCCTCAATTCCGTCACCCCAATTCACTGGATTTGGAAAGTTCCTCGCACAAGCTTGCTTTATCATAGTTGTTGAGGAAAAAAGTTGTTTCAGTTTCTAGTATACCTACTGAAGATGCAAATATAAGCGCTATATATACGACCTTCTTCTTGAAGGGAAGCGCACGCTACACATCAGGAAGGAATATTGTCCAAGGATCCAAGCCATGAACCTGTGCTGCTGTGCGTCATGGAGAGTCCCATAGAAGACATGGAGCTCGTGTCATTGTCATGAGGGAAGCTCAGAGGCACTATTTAGGGCCGCTCGTCTTCGAGGGTCCAGCACGCTCCACCATTACATCGTATAGTTGTCGGCCATTCTGTGTCATAGCATTGGTTGAATACCGTGGTATCGGAAAATAAACTTGGTTGACTGGGTAAAAACTGATGAACTTACGAATATCACAGGGAAGAAGTGGACTTGTCCTTCGGGCTTTGTTTGGGTCTCCTTGAAGTAAACCAAGATAGGAAACTGTGGCCACCATAGTTCCCAATTTACAAACGTTGAATACCTACGCATGTCTTGGATTATTAGATCGTGAACCACTTATCATGATAAAGAAAACTGACAGGATTTAAAAGGATTAGCAGGTCTGCTTACTTCCAACGGTTCTTGCCGCCGACAAATACATTTTCACCGGACTCCTGCAGCTGGTCTCCAACTTTCACCTCCTACATGACACAAGCTTGTTAATGAACATTATGAAAAAAAAGGTATTTACAGCATTTCATATGCAAAGAGAACCAAATATTGAGTTCAGATAATGGACTCCTCATCATCTAGTTTTTTTAAGGAAAGGCAGGAACTTCTGGCACTCAATGTAGAGAAAGAGAATGAAACTGTGAAGTACAAATGGTTGGGCAGAAGCCACGACACTCTGCACCATCCTGTGAAGGGCAGCACTAAGCAGCCCTTCTAACACAACAGAGGCGGTAGTGCCAAGGTGCAAGGAAGAACCACATGGTTACACAAATTGGTTCATCTACTTTTTCTCCCCAAAAAACATTCTGTGCATGTACTCTCATCATGCGATCCAGCAAACAGTTCTAGAAGCATTTTCATGAGTTGACTGGCATGCTCTCTGATGTTAAGTTTACTCTCAAGAAAAGTGAAGGGTACGAACCAGGGCCTCATTATCAAAGACGAACCTCACTCTTGTAGTCTGCAGAGAAAGAATGCAGCAAGGCAGACATTAGAAAAAGACTGAATCATATTTAAAAACAGACACAGAGGACCTAGAATACATTAATTTCCTTTTATTGATCTTTAAGGGTGATACAATCAGGGGTGCTAAGTTGAATAAATATGTTGTTTAGCAGGAATGAGAAACACCTCAACATCTGCACAAATAATAGAAAAAAAATAGATCTTCAGTAGAGAATTTGGTTTGAACTGAAATGCTGTAATATATGCCCTCGAAAACAACACTATTTATATGCTCCATTATTTAATTTGCAGACGCTCTTCTAGAAAAGAGTAGAATTCTCTGATAATATGTCATCCTCTGGTTTAAATTTTTACAAAGAGTTGGCCTACAGAACGTTGCACCACAGAATGGGGACGAATCATTGATGGAGTGAGAGAACAACTTAAGAAAAGTCTTTGAGGGTTTGTCACCTAATCTAGCTAGAGTGCTTATGCTCGCCAGTGAGGATCTCTATCTTTGGAGTTTTGCCGGGGCTAGAGGCATTTCATTCCTCCTTGCCCTCATGCTGTTGTTGAACTGAGTTTTTTTAGGTCGAGGTCGGTTTTACTTTGGGTAAAGGCGCTATTGTTGCATGTAGCTCTCTCTAGAGTGAGTGTGTTTCTGTGCGGGTTCTCACACCTTTTTTCTCTTCTTAATATAATGATACACAGGTCTCTTCAACGTTTGAGGAAAAAAGATAATATGTTATCCAATATATCCATATGCTCCATGAGCTAACTTACAGATGCTATTGCATAAAAGAATAGAATCCTCTGATGATATGTAATAATCATCAACTCAAACAGATGTTCTGAACTCCAAAAGCAGCCTGGTTAGGGTATGCTGACCTGGAACAAAAGAAGAAGCCCCAGCAGTCCTACAGGTGCAGCAGCTAGAAGATTGTCTGCATATGCAAAAGCACTAGCAATCCCTGCATTTGGACAATAGCTGCTATTAAATACCTTAATAACCATGCTAAACCCATGCCATCTTCTTATATTGATGTAAAATTACATGTTAAGAGATGTTCTACTTACTAACTTTAGAGCTCACCAAGTATAGCAATTGGTAACCTATAGTCGGGGTCCGGGACAACTGTTTCTTTGGTCGTTGACTTCTTCCTTCCAAGCTAGAAAGAAGGATACCCGATCAAACAAGTTGCAAACTAAATTGACTTGTAAAGAACGATCTTGTAACATAATTTCTATGTAGCAAACTTGCAATGAGGCATGGTGAAATTTTACTTTTCCAGAACCCTTTATAAGAACACTCATATATTATCACTATGTGGAGTTAGTTTAATCAACAGGTGTGGCATGGATTTATATGAATATGAAGTTTGAAAAGGAGACTAGAAATATGCATGTCAGGTCAAGCAGTGTAACAGTGATTTTTCCACTGATTTTGCTAAAAATCATAGGGGCAGCTGACCCCAATAAAGGGGCCTACTCCGTCCCTGTTATAGAGTACATAGGCAACCAGTGAGATAGAGAGAGAGAATATGCAAGGTTAAGATAAGCTTAAAATTTCCATTTTCTCCTTTGAATTTTGTAGTGCACAGATCATCACTCATTTCCTTTGCTTTTATGATATACTGCTAATAACAAGAAATTAACCATTAAGTGAACATGCCTAGCCCTTTTGTGTCACTGAACAACCTAGATCATGCAAATGACATTTTATAAAGCAAATCACACTAGAAGAGGAGGTACTGAGAAATGGAGGCTGCACTAAGAATTTTGCTGACCAACCACAGATACTATTGCCATTCGTCGCTGTTGCTCCCGATCATGAACCCTACTCATGTAGCCCTTGCCAAGCACATTTACAGTGCTCAGTGATATACTAGCCGAAGCCACTCCATACGAAATCACATCTCTAGCTGCAGGATTCAAAACAAACCAAATCATAAGCTGGAACAGCATCCCAATCGAAATTATTTTTTCTCTGCTAACCAATTTACAGCTTCCTTTTTAACTAAAACCAATTACAACTTCTCTCACAGCACTAATCCTCAAGACTCGATGGACGCAGCAGATGCATAAGATATGCAGGCTTTTGCCAGAAATGATAGCCACCGCTACTACTATGCACTATGCTATGCTGAACAAATTGAGCGAACTTAGCACATATTCATCAGTACCCAAAGGGAGCATGCCATTTGTTGCGTAGCTAAATCAGCCGGGGTCCGGGGACTCTGAAGCTGAAATTCCGTCTACGCTGGAAACAGTACCAGGACGGCTAGGCGAGGAGCGGATCGGGTGAGAGTGAGAGAGGAGATCGTGGAGGGAAGGAGCAGTTTACCTCTGGCCGGAGCTCCGAGGAGGAGGGGAGAGGATAACGAAAGAGTGGTAGCCATGGCTCCGCCGGCTTCTGCTCTCCACCCTCTTCAGGCTACGGCTCCGCGATTGTGCCCTCCTCCTGGCCGGCACGGCGGCACCAAGCGGCAGGCGCTGTCCGTGTGCCGCCCCTGGTTTGCCACGTGCACCGCCCCCGGGCTAGGCTGTGTTTGTGGGCCGGATCACGTCTTCCTTTAGGTTTCGGTGGGCTAACAGCTAACTGCCCGGTGGCTCCATATTTTCCCTTTTTATTTTAACCAGCAAACATGCCCTACATTGTAATGCGATAAAAATTATTAAACATTCATAGAAAATGAGAACCAGAATGATACATATCTATTTTTTATCCTTTCTATATAATTTTGTAAAAGTATAATTTATCTTATGATGACTATGACATCTAAAGTATAAATTAATGTTGGCAATAATATAACAATGTCCTATTAAGATTGTAGCAATTTACAAAACTATATTGATAGATTTTTTGTCTCACTTTGCAAAGCACAGAAATATTTACTTGTAAATGTACCGGAACTTTAATTTTATACTATTCATATGTTCGAAGGGTTAAATATGGAGTTCCCAAATGGTAGCCCTTGTCAAGAATGTACCCATACATACATATAATTTGAAGACACATTTATTTATATTGGATTGGATACAAAACTTTGATTACTTGGACCATAGGATGAACCATGTTATGATAAAATAACTTTTGTTTCTAATGAAAATGCATTAACAACTTTGGGGTGGAAATTTCTCTTTCTTAAGATCAATGGCACAAAGATCATATATTATATTTATTAAATGTTTTCTATATTTATGGGGAAAATGGAAAAAAATAGAATGAGAAGTGATAAAAAATTCAAACAGAAAAGGAGAAAACGAGACAAAGAAAAGACACAAGTGAAAAAAACTGTAGGATCTACAGAAAATAAAGAAGGCCTAGAGGGGGGTGAATAGGCCTGTAAAAATTCAACATAAAACTCTGTTAGAACAGAGGGCGGCACTGTCGGCCTTACAGGACGGCACTGCCGCTCTACGAAAAATAATCTAACACAGTTGAGATTTAATAGATATGAACTAACTCCACTAGCTGCTTAATCCTGCAATATAAAGTCAAGATCCAGTTTAAAGACTGGATACCACAAAATCTTCCACATAACAGTGAATCGAGCAACTAAACCCTAGCTACAGCTAGCAATAAAGTAAACAGCAAGTATAGTAAAGATAAAACACGCGAGACATAAGATTTATCCGTGGTTCAGCTCACCATTAAGGTTTGCCTAAGTCCACGTTATTGAGGAAGCCACAAAAGGCTTTAGCTTGCCACCAAGGCTTGCCTTACCCTTGTTCTCAAATCAAGAGAGTGAACTCTTGAAGTGAGGGTGATTTCTTAGCTTTTGAATGAGGTTACAAATCTCCCAAGGCTGCCACACAAGTTGGCAAGCACAAGGGCAACGCCTAGCCGGCTAGGAGCAAGCTCCAAGAGTAACAAACCCTAGAACCACCGGCCAAACGTGAACCAAATGCTCTTAGACTTTGAGAATCAGTGGATCTCCTCTCCAATCGAGTTTTGTTGTCTTTTCTCTCAAGTTTTGATGGTTGAAATCAAGGATTAGCTTGAGGGATGGAGGAGCAACAATAGAGGAGAGAGGTGAGCTTTGGTTCTGTCTGGTTTCGAGCAGAATGACTCAGTGAAGAAGATGACCGTTGTGGGTCGGGCCTGAAGGGTATAAATATCCCTCGAGCCCAACGGTCGGTTAAGGGTGGCACTGCCGCTCTTAACAGGGCGGCACTACCGCCCTAGCCAAAACAGGTAATATGATATGAAATTTGGCTGGCTGTTTTGACTAGGTGGGAGGATGTAGATCTATAAATTTGAGCATCTGATTCAACAGTTGACCAACTGTCCTAAAATCCCTCTTAATAGTACGGCTTTCCCTAAACTCAATTTCAAAACATAAAAGAATTTAAGCTTCCTTTGAGCTAGGTCTAGCCACCTTTTGTAATTAGGATACCTGCAACCTATACATCATCCTCATTCTTTGATTCCCTGCTTGTCATCTCGATAAATCTTATTAGTCCTCTAATTTGGTGGTCATCAATACCAAAACCCACAATAGGGCTTGATTGCACTTACATTCTCCCCTTTTTGGTAATTGATGACAACCCAATTAGAGCTTACCAATGATATGAAATCTAAACTGAGATTTTCGAACCATGGGTGTAGGAGCCTCCCCCTAAATATGTGAATAGAGATTTGAATTCTCAAATTGGCATGAAAGACCATGATTCACATTTTAGGTGTGATGGGAACCTTTCCCTACATCCATGCTTGTTGTGGGGTGTTGAACAAAGTGTCACAAGAATAAAAGTGATGCATATGATAGATTATTCCAGTTCAAGCACACAAGATTCTGGCTAACATAGCAGAGGGCATAGGGCGGCACTATCGTCCTGACTATATCAGTCAGATAGCAATTAGATTTCTACAGCAGATCATATGAATATAAAACAATCTAAACTCATAATATGACAAGCTAAAAACTATAACCATCAATACATATCCATATCCAAAGCAAATAAAGTCACATAGTAGTATAATTTCATAAAATAGAGTTTTGAGCGACTCTCAAACTCACAATCTAACAACTACTCTCATCGGATCTGAACATAGCAGCAGCACGTCGAAAATCCATTGACCCTCCATTGACCCCTCTAATTTTCTCCCCCTTTGGCATCAAATACCAAAAAGAGAAGAAAAAGAAGAGAAGTCACTCATCACTGTCGGAGTCGATGCGGGCACGTCCGGCAACGTGGGTGTGCGAAGTGAAGCATGATGAACGTCGCGGAGGTGCTGCCCTAGCTGATGTAGAAGGCCCTGGCTGATCCGTCGAAGGACGTGGTCTCCTAGAATATGTGTGAAACAAAGCTGCCTGAACCTGTGGATCGGCCTCTGTAGGGTGAATATCTGCACCAAGGTCCTGCTGACTTGGGGCCTCCTCAAAATGTTGTCCCTGTGGGTACCCGTAGTACTAACTGAATGGCTCATATGAGTGTCCATGCTGCTGATCATCTGGTTGTCCATCATGGTGCTCATGTGGCTGATCCTGCTCCTCATCGAGAAGAAGAAAGGCGAGGCAAGTTAGGAAACTGAGGTGGTGGCTGCACAGGTGGAAGTGGTGGCAGCCCTGCTATCTCCCTAGCATGCCTCATAGCTTCCCTGTTCTCCATTCTATCCTCATAAGCAGTCTATGAAGCGTATGCACAATGAGTAAATATTGCCTTCATCCATGCACTCATCTTTCCCCACTTTGACTTCTTCTTTTGTTCCCTAGCTCTGGACGGCTTAGGAATATCTCTTTGTGCATCTCTAGAAGGGTGAAAGCCTGCTGCCCCACTATCTTCGAGTCCTCTAGAATCAGTATGCTGATCTGTTGATCCAAGTCCCCCTAAGCCACCATGGGTCTTCTTGATCTTATAAACAGTGTGCTCACAGTCCTTAGGGAACCACATACCAGTCACTCTCTCAATCATAAACATGAGGTATGGAGCATAGGGCAAAGATCTCCTCCCATCATCCATGGCATATGCTAGCTCAACCCAAATGAATCTTGGAACATTAAACTTTTCACTGCTGGGAAACCTAGACAACATATTAGTGATATAGCCATTCAAATCTGTTGCATTTTCTTTGGGGTTGAGAGTGATCCTAAAAAGATTATTCATGATGTAATAGAAGCTCTTGAGCTTTGTTCTTGACCAATCAGGAACTGCAAGATTTTGATCCTCCCACATGAAGCTCACTTCCATTGGCTCAAGACGGCACTCATTATGTATTCTCTCATATCCCCGTGGATGTGTCCAAAACCAAGAATACGACAGAAGGTGACAAAATCAATGCGATAGTGTCACCCATCAGTCATCTAATGAAGCTCATCCACTTCCCTGTTCCAATAGTAGGTAGCATGGAACTGTGCCAGAATCTCCCTGTTCCAATCATACCTAAAACTCATGATATCTGTCATCTCAAAATGGTCACAGGTCTTGATTGTTGTAGCAAACTGATGATCATCTCTGCTCCCCAAGTCACCAAAATCAATATATTGCATCTTGCTAATCTTTCCCTTTGACTTGGATAGGATAGCTGTGGCATAAAAATCAGATTGGAAAGCATTCCAAAATCTATAATCAATGCCATTTGATCTGTCAGAGGAGTAGGGATCAATCTCTCTGGCTTCACCTGTCTTCTTCCAACTCATGGAATAATCAACAACTCTATGATCATCACTGTTTTGGGGAGGAATGAGATCGAACCTATCAGTGTTATCTCACATGTAGCTGTAATCAAACTCTGAAATGTGTAGAGGAGAATTAGGCCACACATGAATGGGTCTTCCCATCCTCTGAATGTTCTCTTCTTCAGCGAGGTCTTCATCAAGATTTCTGTCTCTAGGAGTATAGCTCGCCTGTCCCCTGCCTCTCTTGACCTTTTGCTTGGTTGTCAACACCTTCCTTTTTCCTCGGTCCATCTATGTAATTAAATGAGACTTGATAAGAAACTGTATAAGATAATGAGTTAGACACAGCTGCATGTAGGTTTTAATAAGAAAAAGAATTTTGAAGATGACACAGGAAGCTGTGCTGGATTTGGAATCAGCATGGTAGGGCGGCACTGCCGCCCCCTAAGGCCGGCACTGCCACCCTCAGTTGCTTCACTATTTCATCTTCAACTTTCTCGTTCTGGTTAAATCCTATTTCCAACAGTGTCTATTCATCATCACAATTGCAGAATCACAGTCTAAGCAAGGAATACATGAAACCCTAGCCATGAATTTGAAAGATTGAGTATGAAAATTTTAGAAACAATTTTTGATAAGTGAATCCAATCCATTCTGAACTTCATCGGATTTATGAACTTGAGTCTAGTAGTTAGAATCTGCTCGGGATGCCATTAATGGTCCCATGGGCGGCATTGCCGCTCTCCCCAAAATCATCCAACCGGTGAAATCCAAAA